AGAAAGGAAGGGGTGAAAAATAGAGCTAGATAGATGAGGCACTAATTTGCTGGAGCAGGGATGTCTCTATTAGCAGCTTCTCTCTGCAATCCCATCCCTAGGGTAAGATGGTCATTAGTTTTAACTTGACTTGAACATTAAGTGAAATAGTGGTTTTCTTAGTTAGATCTCTTTCTCAATGTAAGAAACTAATAGCTTTGATTTTCTTGTAGGCTTTGTTGTTGAGCATTTCCTACATATGAATGTTACTGCTGCTGAGTGCATGCCCCTGGCTGCCATGTTCTGATTACCTGTTTTTGCAAAAAAGAGTCCACATTGGTCATATTGGTGAAGCCAAATCCACTTGGGTAGGTCCCAACTTGTCAAATGTTACTTTTCTCCTCCAGGGTAAAAAGGTTCTATGTCTAGAATCTGATCGCATCTCATGCCGTCTAGGGCTGCTATCCTACCCCAGCCACCGCTGTCTTTTGCCTGGCTCCCAGCTACTTCCAACTCTTGCATCTGCCATCCTGGCTCCTACAGTCTACTCAGCTCACAAGCAAGATGCCCTTCTGGATAGGACAGGCTGCTCAATTTTACCCCTGGCGTCTGTCACATCAGTTGCTTCATGATGTGACTTCATGCAATAGGATTTAAAAGTGTCCAGAATTACCTCCAGAGGTGTGATCTTCTCCATCAGCCTTTCAGGAGAGCTGCTGCCTCTTGATCTGTAGGAAGGCAGAGGAACACAGAGGGAGGTCAGAGAGGGCCAGGAGGAACTTCTCTAACCAGGAAAGCAAAATCACACATCACCACTGTGGACAAAAAAAAAAAAAAAAAAAAAAACTCTACCTAGTTTTATTTTTATAATGTGAGTTACTATCTTACGTGTTGATAACTGAGTCACCCAAAGTCTGCTCATTTCAACTGCCAACTCTGCTAAAGTGGCTCTAACCTTTCTGCTTCTGTGGAGGGATTTGGCTGGTTCTGACCTTTTGGAAGAGGTCAATAGACCCAGGAACTCTTAACATCATTAGGGTGTGTAGCCTTAGACCAAGAAAACAGTTGTTATTGTTTAATTCCGAGACTGACATCTAAACAGTCACCCAAATGCCAACTAAAACTCTAGTTTGCTTGTGATACTGTTTAGGTGACCAAAAAGTAGATACTCTTACTAAATAAAAGGCTCATCTAACATATGCCCCAAACTCTAGAAAATCAGGTACACTTTTATCTTAACTTATTGTCAAGACCTTAATAAAAATTGTGTAGAGAAATTTCTTTGTCTTTTGGAAACCCATTTAAAATGGCTGATAAGCTCATCAACGAAAGCAAAGCTTTGTTCTCTAGTGCCTACTTTTGTGGAACTGGTAGCCTATCATTCATCTCCAAGATCATTATTGGAATGGAATGATTCTGGGCTCATCTTATTTTCTTTTTTGTGAGGCTGTCATATGGGAGCTCTGGGGTCACTACAGGCCCATAGTCAACTTCACAAGCCATCTCTTTGGCAGGACTGCCCTGGCCTGACAGCTGTTGGCTGCATCCCCAGGTGCTTCCAGAGCGAGGACTGTTGTGTCAAAACCACCTGCCATCTGTTGGTACAAAATTTGGGGATTCTAAATGATGAGTCACTTTTAGCTCCTGAAGTTCTTTCTGCTTCCAAGATTAATTTACCTATTGGACTTTTATCAGGACATATTCTGGGATAACTTGTCATAAAGCTTTGTCCTATGCAGAGTTCACGTCCCTAAGGAGCAATCTTCCCAGTGACACCAATGGAAACAAATCCTACCAATGGAAAAGGTGTGTGTGTGTGTGTGTGTGTGTGATTTCCTTTAGGGAAGGCAGAGAGAAGCCACAGTAGAACACAATGTGAACCTCACTCTGGGTTCTTTCATGCACACAGCTCGAGCCTCTCATTTCAGTAGGCTTGGGAGTCTAGTAGTGTTTCCATGTTTTTCTGCTAACACTTTCCTAAGGCACTCAGGCCTGTCACTAAGTGTGACGCAGGGTAGCCCATCAGTGACTGTTCACTAAATGTACCACTGAGGTCTGTGACCACAAAATGGGTAAAGTTGACCTACCTAGGGTCACCAGATTTAGTCTGTTGACTTACCCAAGGTTGCCCAACTGGTAATGATGCATTCAGAGCCAAAAGATCTTTAGATCCCAGTAGAGTTCCTTCCAGCTCTCAAAATCAAGAGCAGTTTGCAGGCTGTGGAGATAACTCACTGGTCTTAATGTCTGCCTGTCAAGCACAAGGACCCAGGTTCAATTCCCAGTACCACATGCTGTGCAGGACCCGCTCTGGGCCTGCCAAGCCAGCCACTGTAAGCAGGCATGGTGGCACATAGTAATCCCAGCACTGGAGAGGCTGAAAACAGGAGGATCATTACAAGTCTGAGCTGCATAGTGAAACCCTGCACCAAATAAATAAATAAATAAATAAATAAGGTTTTTTTGTGGGGGGGGGTTGTTTTTTTAGAGCAGTTTGCATAATGTTTAGGGGAAGCTCATGGCTAAGATAAGTTAAAAGTAGGCGCCATGAGGTTTCTGTGTTGGTATCTGCAGTGTGTGTGTGTGTGTGTGTGTGTGTGTGTGTGTAAGAGGACTTTGTCCTAATTATAGAACAAGTGCTTTCCCAAGGAGAAAACTGAAGCCTGGGTTAACAAACCCCTCTATTCACCAGGATGTGGTGGCCAAAGTCACAGGCTAAAGTACAAAATACGCTTCTGCACAAACCGCTTCACACAAATCAGTTTTTATTGTTAGTATCATTGTCTTTTGTCCAAAAACCGTCTATTATGATGGTTCAAATCTAGCTTTATTTGCATAGCCTAGAATATCCTAAACTCTGCTTCATGCCTCCCATGTTTTTACCACCCTACAATCATAAGCTTCAGGGCAGCAGAAAACCCCTAAGAGCAGAAGACGCTGATTCCTTCAAACAGGTTCCCCTTCACCCAAGTTTTCTAAAGCTGTCCTGTCTGGAGAAATCAGCAAAGCCTCTGCCTTGGGATTTTTATTCTTTTCTTTTTTTTTTTTTTTTTTTTTTTTTTTTTTTTTTTTTTTTTTTTGTATTTTAGGGAAGAGACTACAGGGTGTTCAGGATCTCACTACTAGATTGGACTCCTAGTGATTCACCTGTTTACAGCCTCCCAAGAGCTGGGATTACAGGTGCATGCCACCATGTCCAGTCTCAACTGCTGTCTCGGTGCACCCCAGAGGTGGGGCCAGGGGTTCGATCCCCAGCTTGAAGGTGCTTTAATTTACTGAGCTATTTGGCTGGCCTGGATTTTTTATTCTTACCGCAGGTGGGTGTCATTGTATGGATGGCCCTTCCTCCAGCCTCCAAGGGCAGAGGCAGAGTTACGTGCTTGTGTCCCAGTGGGAGGTGAAGTCCTGTATTGTAGATTCCAGGCTCAGGCCCTCATCTCTTCTGCATGGTCAGGGATTGGAAGTGGTGGCCGGCTGCATGGGTCTACTGGAGCCAATGCCAGCCTTGTCCCCTCTGCACATCTTTCTAGTTAGTGGTGGCTGCCTAAGCCAGGATGTACTAAAAAATTTTGCAAACATCCAGAATAATCTATTCTAGAGTGATCTAGGTGTGGGGTGCAGTTGGGACAGGTGAACTTTTTTCAGAGCAAATCATTGCCATCTCCAACGCACCAGTGTGCAGGAACATTTCTACCCACTGGTCTTATCTATGTGCAAGCTGTCCTTGTTGCTGGTAGCAACATTTAGATGCTTCTACAACTCCTGATGCTGCCTTCTCTACCCACCTGGGGGGTGGGGGCATGTGCCCAGGGCATGTACCCAGTGCCCAGGGCTTTGTGATGGCAGTGCTCTGTGGCAGGAGGGACAAGGTGCCCGGAAGGTCTGAGTATTGCTTGCTCTGAATGGCAATTTGGCCTTCACGAGAGCTATGGCAGGACTTTGGCAAATTTTCTACACTTCTATTTCAGAACTGGAGAAATAAGACTCCATAGTCTTCAGAGCAGCTAAGGCCAAGGTGGTCAGATGAACACATCAGTGAGCAGCTGCGGGGTCGTGGTCTCGCCCAGGACAGCAAAGAAGCCCAGAGAGGTGCCCTCCTCCTCCTCCTGCAGAGTATTTAAAATCAGAGCGCAGGGTGCTCTGTCACTATGGTAGGAATCGTCCATGTCAGAAGCAGGCCAGTCACCAGAAAGGGAAGTCAAATAATTTACCCACGTCTAGGTAGTCCAAGAGGCCCTTTGTGCAAACTTGTACAGATTTGTAGGCTTGTGTATTCTGAAAACAAAAGAGGTCTTTACGGACAAAAGTAAAAGAAATCAGATCCCATGGGCCTGTTTCAGCTTTAGAAGAGTTCTGCATACAGAGAAGAGCTGCCCAATGCTACAAACATGGTCAGTGTCTACAAAACTATACCCACGACCATATGCACAATCTACCTATCAGTTCCAGAACTGTTTTAGAAAAAATGTTGGGAGCTTTGTACTAGTGGAAGAACTATACTTTCCCTTGACATCACCTCCTACATGCAGTAATCCGCCCAGACTGTGACTGTCCTCTCCAGCCAAGCAGAGGGACTGCTCTGAAGATAGGGTTAACAACCTATTTCTTAAAGATACTTGTGGAAAATATAAACGCCAGCTAGATGCTCGCTAAACCCTGTGTTATTTACCAGACTAGAATCCTCCCTTGAAAGTGTTTAATCTTGGTCAAATACAGAAAGGCAAACCATTGGCTTCAAGAATCAGAGTTCATTATAAGGGCTGCAGGTGCTCCGGAAAGGACCGTGGTCTTGGAAGGTCCCAACGCTGTAGGAGGGAGAAGGCCTGGCCGCAGCTGTTTTGGGCCCACCTTGGTCCCTACCTGTGGCCCTGGGGGTGCAGTTGGCACATGTGCAGGTGTCACAGCCTCAGAGGACACTGGAGTTAAGGCCAAAGGTCACAGCTGCACCAGGCTCACATGGCACTTGGAACCAGGCTGCGTGGGAGGCCTCCACACCCAAGCATGCTCCTTGCTCAGAGACCCAGGGCTCCTGTAGGGTGCTGTGGACTCAGGGCCTCCCCTCTCTCTGTTCCTGTGAGATGCCCAGCACGGACATGTGTGGGATCCCGCACTCCTGCAGAGACTTGGTGAGATCAGAGAACCGTCTCCTGGGCACCTCCATTGTTTCAATGCTGCAGTGTCCGTAGGTGGCTTTGTTCTTCTGCTCAGCCACAGCAACAACCATTTGCAGGTCGTCAGTCGGCCGGAAGTGGTGGACAAATCTCTGGCCTGATGGTGACCTGACAGCGAGCAGCAGCCGCGGTTCTTGGTCTGACGGTTCTGCCAGGTTTCCAGCCCTGGCGGTGCCCTGCCTCTTGGTGCGGAGGATGAAGTTCCTCTCCAGGGCACAGATGTGAGCTTGAGCTCTGGAATCTTCTTTGCTCGTCTTCACGGAGCAGGGCCCGTCTGGGCAGCGCGCCTGGATGTTGCTCAGTTGTGGCGAGCCGGCTTTTTTAGCGACTGCGTCGGCAGCGCCCTTCTCTAGGCTTCTTCTGTTGATGGAAGGAAGGACTGGGTATTTATTGAGAGAAGAGGAAGCCCCAGCAGGTACCTGGTGCAGCCGATCAGGGATCTCACCGGTGGCTCCTCGAGCTGGCAGTGCGGGTGCACAGGCTCCTCGCTTCTGGCTGCTTGGTGACTCACTGGGATTGGCTGGAGGTGGAGAGGAAAGCGTACTGTGAGCGCACTCCTCCGTGCCCTGTGTTTTGTGGTGATGTGGCCTTGTTCGGCCCTTGGCAGACTTGGGCCTGACGAGGTGCATTTTTAGTGAGTCTGGCTGCCAAATGAAGCTATCGGCTGCTGTCCCGGCAACAGCACTGTGTTCAGGTGGCGCTATGTTCACAGGGGCTTCCGTGGCCATTGCTTCTCAGGACCCCTAAGGAAACGGGAGAAAGCAGACAAGGATATGGGTTAAATAAACTTCCTGGGATAGCTGGGTCCGTGCACCCACACTCTAAGTGCCAAGGATAAGCACCAATAGGCTAGAGGCTGGGAACGTCTGGATTTCTGGTATTTAAAAAGACACCGACATCATTCGTTCATTCATTCATTCATTCATTCATTCATTCATTCATTGCAGGGACTTAAAACAATGAGTGCATCAAAGTCCCTGAGTTTAAATTATTGTAATGAGGGAAGACTGGCATTAGACTCACAAGTAAATAGGTACTTCAAAGAGTAAAAACTGCTACAAATAAAACAGCGTTGTATGAAAGAGTAGCTAAGGTGGAAAACTCATTCTTATGAGAAGGGGCCTTTAAGCTCAGAGACCCCCACTGATGAGAGGGAACAAACCATGTGAAAATGTAGAGCAGGGGTCAGCCAACATTCTCCATAAATATGATCAGCTTTGGGAGCTGTATGGTCTCTGTTACCACTCAAGCCTCCACTACAGCACAAAACCAGCATGGACAACACATTCAGCACAGGGGCTGTGGCTGTGTTCTAGGACAAATTCATTTACAAAAAAAAAAAAGGGTTAGGTCGCACTAGGTTCCGGGGTCACAGTTTGCTTGCCCTTGATCTAGACCAGGGAGAGGGAAGGGCAGATGGGGCAAGGAGAGTTTGATGTACTCAGGGATTTGCTGGCTCCCACATTGAGAATCCCTCCCTTGGAGGTGGTCTGTACCATCCGTGGATGCAGCAGCATAGTCAGGAGAGTTAGCGGTGACTGCCTTTGCCCAGAGAGGGAAGGTAATGCTGTTAACATGCTCAGCAGGGAAACCAAGCTCAGCTCTGCCCAGGCGCATTTATCTACCCTGCCCTCCCCTCTGCAGAGCTCCCTTAGAGAAAGGGCTAGCAGCCTGCCCTGGTATCATTATTCACAGCAGAAAAACCACACTCTGGGACCCCTATTTTTCTTTTGCATCTCAGTCCTTCCTATTTCCTCTTACTCGACCTACCCAGAGTTTGCCCTTCCTTCACTTCTCTTCCTACTGTCTTGTCATTCAATCTTCCCGGGTGACTCTGCAGAAATCACTTACCATAATATCCCTCTCTAACCTGGTCATCAGGGATCAGGAGGGCAGGAAGCCCTATGCCAGAATCACAAGGGAAGGCACTGGGCTTCTAAACAAGGGGTCGCCAAACCTTTCCTGTAATGAGCCAGAGAGTGGCTATTTGGGGCGTTGCAGACCACACAGTCTGTCCTAAAATCCTGCCTCTGCAGCACAGTCCCAGACAGTATGTAAATGAACTTGTATGGCTGCATCCAATAAAACTTCATTGGGACTCTGAAATTGGAATTTCACATGTTACAAACATATTCCTCTCCCCTCCAAAAACGATTTAAAATGTAAAAGCTATTCTCAGCTCACCAGCCACACAGGAACAGTTGACCAGCCAATTTTGGCCCCGTGGGTCACCATTTGTCAAACTCCATCTTAAACCAACTGTAAGAGAAATCTGAGCACAAGCTGATGCTACAGCTACATGCAGCAGAAGACAGACAGAGTGGCTGCCCAGTGGCCACAGAGCCGGCTGGTGGGGGAATCTGAGAGATGGTCGCAGAACCCAGGTCTTGGGACGTTCAGTCCCGTGTCCTTTGCACTCACAGGAGCTGCTTCCTAGAGGACCAGTCTTGGCTGGCTCCCAGCACATCACATGCAGTCTCTTGATTTCCGGTTTTGTTTCTATCTTCCAATTCCCCGGTGGACACCTCAAGGACCCTGTGCTGGGTCTCACACCAAGGGTGCTCATGAGTGCCGGTAAATGCAAATAGAAGCAACACACTAAGACCTGCTAGAGCACATCTCTGGGCAGACCCGGGCCTACCATGTCACGTTGCCTCCTCTTTCTTCGCCATCTTGGTCATCACTCCACTGACACCATAGCACCACTTTCTCCTTCCAGTCCACAGTTACATCTTCCCCAGAATGCTACAAAGGCCTTGTTGGACTCCCTCTTTTCCTCTGAGTCCTGATTTCCATGGCGATTACTGCTTTCTCTGCTCACAGGCTGACCACATCCCTCTCCGCCTTGTAAGACCTTCTAATAATTTCCTACTACCTCCTTCTGCAATGCCAGAGAACCAGGAGTTCCAGGACCATTTCAGGCTTATAAGCCCACCACGCTACCTTTCTGTTACATAACCTTCCCCACTTAATCTATTAGCTATACAATCTTGAAAATATTAAAATACCTCTAAACTTGAGTCTCTCTGTCCATAAGACAAAGATAAGAACAGGAAATAACACATATCAAGCAGAAATAACACATATCACATATCAAACCTGGTAGATGGTAGAGGTTTAGTTAAATGTTAAGGACTTTCTTTGGTTCTGGTTGTAGGCCTGTTTGGTATGTTCTGTTACTCTAGGCCTAGTGCCTCCCCTGTTGCTTTCAGTTACCCCAGGTGTCCTTGGTGGTGTTCTTCCCAGTCAGTACTAATCAGTAATCATACCAGGCCCTGCGCCTGCCCTGTCCACTGCACAGGAATGACAGGAGGTTCATTCCAGCGAGCTACCATCTATGACTGCCTCAAAAAATGGGCAACCATTCCTGGGTCAATTTTTCTCTTCTAATTGCACACACTGACCTCAAATTCACTTCCTCCAAGCGCCCTTCTTCACCCAGTCCTGATCATTGCCATTCAAATCCCTTCCACTTCCTGTTCTAGCTGTGGCACGCTGAGCACGTTTCTGGCGTTGCCTCATTGGAGGGAGCACCCTCTCTCTCACCACCAAACCGTGGTATCTCTGTATATTCATGATGCCCTGCTCTGTGCAAAATCGCAGACAGAGCTGTCCCCACTCTCTTCCTCTCCAGGCCTCTGTGTTTCTCTGTTCCGCTCACAGCTGGCGTATTTCTCCCGTCTCATTTCCCACTCGTAGCTCATCTTTCACACCCAGTCTGGCTGCTGGTATTCTGAAGCCTTCTTAGCAGAGTTTTGGCATCAGAATTACCTGCCCATCTCCTTACTAATCTCATTAATTTTCTTTTCTTTTCTTTTTTTTTTTTAATAGTTCCAGGGATTAAACTGCTTGCCAGGCAGGCGCTTATGCCACTGAGCTATATCCCCAGCCCCTTACTAGCTTTATTTTTATTATATTTATTTCCTTTATGTATTTAGTACAGGGTCTACAGGGTCTCACTATGTAGATTGGACTCATTGTCCGATCCTCTTGTTGTCTGCCTCCCAAGCACTGGGATTGCAGGCATGCGCCACCATGCCCAGTCTCAGTAGCAATCTCAGCATGCCCCAGGGACGGGGCTGGCATGGCACACTGGGGATCAAACCCCACTCCCTGCATCTGCCTAAGCAGGCACTTTGATCTGCTGAACGATCCGGTGGGCTCTTCATCAATTTTCTGATTAACTGTGAAGATTCTGTTACCCTTCAAAGTTTAGGTCTAAAGTCCTTGGCTTGTTTGTTTATTTTTTTTTTTTTAATGTATTTGGTTGTTACAGGATCTCACTATGCAGCTCGGACTTGTGGTGATCCTCCTGCTTTCAGCCTCCCCGGCGCTGGGATTACAGGTATGCACCATTATGCTGGACTCTGGCCAGCTCAGCCTGCTCTGGCAGGTGGGGCTGGTGCAGCATGTGGTGCCGGGGACTGAACCACAGTCCCTGCACTTGCCTAAGCTTGCCTAAGCAGGTGCTTTAGTCAGCTGAGCTATCTGGCCGGCCCAAGTCTTTTCACTTGTAATGAGGCAGCCCTGCAGCTGCGCTAAGGATGGCATAAGAAGGCATTCTGGTCCCACTGCTGTACCCAACACAAGCTCGACTCCCTTCTCTACCCACCTCCCACTGGGGAATGGCTATTAATTTGCCACAGTTTTTCCAGAATTATCCCAAGCTTGGCTTCCACTACCCACACATGCCTCGGGAAAGCTTAACTGTCAGTAAGTTTGGTAACTTAGAAACCTCTTCCTTAACAACTTTGATGAGCAAAGTCATATGTTCTCACAGGCTCTGCTGGATTATTTTTAACAGTAAAACTTGACTATGTGCATGCACTTGCTATACCTTTTGGTACTATATAATTAGCGATGTTCAGGGGGTGTCATCTTCAAGACACCCTGGTCATAAGATAACATGACTGCGAGCTATCGCACAGAAAAACCTCAATTATGACTAATTCCCAGAAGCCCACTCACAGTTATTTAGAGACTAACACCTCCCTCAGGTAAAACCATTACGTCCAACCTGATTTCAGAACTCATTGCCTCCTCCTGAGTGCAAGGACCATCTGTTTTATGGAGGGCACACCAGCGCCTCTAGCATCCAGTGCAAGGGCAGGGGAGGTGGAGGAAAACAGGTGTCTGGGAATCTGGGCCAACTGTGCCTTTAGGGTCATACCCTGGGTCCCACACTCTTCCTTAACAATTTTGTTCCAGGCAGGCTTCCGTAGTGGGCATCATCTCAGGTTAGTTTACTTCATCTCCCTTTAGGCCTGGCAGCCATTCAACCACAAAGTGATTTGACCAGCTCTAGGCATGAGCATCCATCAAGCTGCCAGCTGAATAAGCAAGAGGCCTGTTTACTTAAACACAATAGCTGCACTGCAGAGGCCTTCTAGGTAGCAGGAAACAAACACTGACAACGGTTTCCAAGAAGTTGCCAGAAGGGCAAGTGCCCACTCCTGAGGATGAATCACCAAATCAACTGGAAGGAAGGAAAATTGGATGAAAAAAGCTGCGGCGAGATTTCTGTTTTCCAAGGGTACCCACAACCCACTACAGGTTTGGACTATCCTATTTTACAACCCAAATCTAAACTTACAGTAAAAGCAATAAAATATAACCACCTACATACCATCTGCTGGTATATACCAAGATGCATACATACGAATTGGTCTTTTAAAACTGTTTATCAGTTAATACCACCTCTTTCCACCCCCACCTCCACCCAACCAGGCTTCTGGGATAAAAATGCTTAGAGGAATCAACAGGAGACGGCTGTTGGGTGGAGGATGAGAAAACTTTGGTACCATTCCCAGTTCTACCTCAGACTAAAGATCTGAATGCCCTGTCCTATGCACAGTATCACACTGAAATCAAAAGCCAAGTGACCAAAGGGTGGGAAAGGGGGACGGTAGGGGGCCAGGGGGGTGATTCTAGCAGCAAAAGGGTGGGGAGGGGGTGGGGCAACTCAATTCTGTCCAAGTTCTGACAGCCCTGGAAGCACACAAACCTAAGGCACAGAAGGGGAAGTTTGGGGGAGGGGCAGACAGAGCGGCTAGAAAGTTACAGCGGACTTTAACAAAAGGAATAGGGATGGGGGCGCCTCCCTCTGCTTCTCGTCTGGGTGGCTGGGACCTCCTTTTCTCCCTCGGGTCTGCGTCCAGAGGTTAGTTGTGCCCATCTCACCAAAAGGTCATGGCCTAGTTGTTTCTTAGGGCACATGGCAGCTGCCCAGACTGGGATTTGTCCTATTTCAGCAAAGGTGATCTCTGGCAGGGCTTGCTGTGAGCCTGGGGAAAACCTATCTCTTACAGGCTCCCCTCCAGTCTCCTGAGGTTAGTCCCTGAGGCCAGCTCTAGGGAAGCCCCGCGGGCGAGATGCCAGGCTCTCTGGAACTGGCTTGTCCCAGCCTCTCTGAGGTCAGCGGGGACCAGGGACCCTGGGCAGCCCAGGGTTGGGCAGCTGGTCGGCTGTGCTCACCTCGCAGCTCTGTCGCTCCATCCGCCGCGGTAGCCACGGGCGCCCAGCTTGGTGCTGTTGGTAAACAGCCACGTCTCCAGGGCAACCGCCAGGGGTGGGGGCCACGTGCTTCCGGTCTGACCGGAACCGGACAGACCGGGGAGATAGGGGAGTGGACTGCCAGGCCCGAAGCCTTAGCCTTTTGGCGGCAACAGGGATGCTGGCTTTGGCTTCTTCCTCTTGCTGGCCTCCTCTTCCTTGCCTCATCTGCCGCCTCTGTCTCTCATCTCTTTGGAAGAGCACATCCAGGGAAAGGAGAGTTCTGGCCTGGGCTGGTAGGTGGGGTAGAGGAGCAGCACCCTACCAAGTCTAGCCCCAAACCAAGTTGTGACCTTGGGTCACACTTGATCTTCTCAGTGCCCTCCTGTGTAATGAGACTGTGGGACTGATTGTGTCCTGTGGGCTCTGGAATCCAAGTTGCTGCTTCCAGGACGTCTTTTGAGAGGTATGGAGCAGGACCCCGAGTCTACTTACCAGTTCTCACCATCGCCCTTTGAATATCAGCTCTTTGGCCTGTTGCAGCCTCAGACACATGGCTGAGTGCTGAACGTTGTGATCAAGGGCAACTGCACCTTCTCTGAGGGGCAAGCCCTACCTCTAATACTTCAACAACTCTGGGCGCTAATACAGTAGTTCTTCAACATCATCAAGCCTTCCATCCCATTGCACTTTGGGTTTTCTTTCTGCCATCATCCACAGTCCACTGCTTGAGCCATTCTCTTGGCAGGAATCCCCCATGTCCTTGTCCTGCCTGCCGGCTTTCCATCCCTTTCATGTGATCAATCGTTAACCCAAATCTACTGTGCTTAGGTGGTAAAGAAATCTTGACAGCCACAAACTTGAGCAATAGACAGCACCATTTCCACCTATATGGGCCCTTCCCCCTGCTCAGCAAGCCTTCCTCTTTCCCTTCTGGATTCTCTCTCCTTTCTCCTCAGTGGCTATTTCAAACCTTGTTCTCACGCTTGAAACCTCCCATCTCTCCCTCTCCTTCTTCCCTTTTGGAAGATAATTTTGCTGCCCTCTGCAAAGACAGAATAGAAGTCATGGTGTGAAAAATTTCTCAGTTGTCCACCATCAGACCTACAAACCTGCCTTCTTTTCTTCCTCACTTTCTTTCTTCTGCCTGCTGGAGTGGAAAGGGGCTGTCCTCTGACTCCACCCAAAGTTAAATGTGTGACCACGGGGCTCTAATACCCATTCAATCCCTACCACATGGTCACACTTGAAAGTCGCACTCTGATTAGACTACAAGCCTTTGCTCCTGCGGTCCCATTGGCTTAGAAGATTCCTCTCTAGCCCCTTCCCTCCTTCTACCTAATTCCTATTCATCCTTCATGTCCAGCCTAATGGCTGAAATCTTGCTTCCAAGTTGGAATTGAGATGCCTCAGGTGTCCCAAGTGGATTGCTGTCTGTCAGTCTCTAAGTCATTTGCAATAATTTAGATAGTATATCTTTAGAAGATACTCTGCTACACCCAAGACCCATAGATTCATGATCTGGCATTATAGCTAAAGAATTGCTCTTTGGTCTGTCTTGGACATGACCAATGTTGGATTTTGATGAGTGTATGCTCTAAGCCTTCTACAAGCCATTCACAGTTTTGTTGAGAAAACATTTGTGGACTGATTAAGAGTTCTGGGTCAGACTCTTTTCAATACAGTTTGAGTCACAGGCTGAAGAGCAGGCAGGATGTGATTATATAGGTCCTCATGGGCCCAGCCATCAACTTGATTTTGAGGTAAGGAAAAGAGGATCACTTCAGTGAGAATGTTTTTGACTGCATCAGAGAGGATGCTGACAACCAGGCAAGGGCTTAGGCTGGGCCTGCATCTTGTTCAGGATGCCCACTGCCCAACCTCCTCCAACTTTGGGGGGCACTGTGGCCCTAGGAAGGCACAGAAGATGCAGCTTCTGGAGATGCTGGTTTTGCAGCTCAGAGCTGATGGCTTATATTTTGTTAATGATTCTGTCAAGAATATTTAAGTGATGCTCTTCAGCCCTTCCGCACCCACTCAGAAAAGATTAAAGTAGATTCTTCATCAGCTATTTTAGCAACACCTAAGAATTACGCAATCCTTCGGAGAATCGAGTTGGCTTCCCACCCCCTGTGCACGCATGTGTGCGTGTGCCCTGCTGGAGCAGCAAAGGGGTGGTTGTGACTATGGCCTGACTCATGTTCAGCTTTGTGTGTCATGAAATATAGAGTCCCAGGGAGGGAGAGACTGCAGGGAAAAAGAGAAAGCCAGTCAGACCATGGCTGTGACTTTGCTATCTCCTGACCTTCTTTAGAGATGGTGTCTTTTGGTGGGTGGTAGCTAGCTCAATGGTAGAGTGCTTGCTTAGGATATGTGAGGCCCTGAGTTCCATCCCAGGCCCTGGAGAAAAGGGAGGGGGCATCAGGTTCAGTGTCTGGCACTTACACACAAAATAATTTCTCAGTAAACATAGACGGAGATCACCGCACTGCAAGCTTGAAGGCAGACAATTCTTCCTGCCCAGTCGGACATCACTCTGCCCATTACCTCTCTCCTTGGGCCACAGTCACCTTGTTGTGTAAATAGCCTTCAGTTTTCTTACCCCGTTGTCTTTGCTCATGCCCACCCTACCTTGAAATGAACTCAAACCACCAGATCCTTCGAATCTCTTCTTAAAATCCAGGTCTTTCATGAAAGCTTTTCCTAACTACCCAATGTCATGCGCTCTTTCTAGTTTCCATCTAATCCAATGGAACAAGCCCAAGATGATACCATGCACCCTCACTAGGACAGTTCCTTTGCCTTGGGCTTATTCCACCATAGAAGCACCATTGTTGGCTCTTCAACTCAAAAGACAAAGCGAAACAATCAAACAACCTCCCCCCCAAATAACAACAAAATAGACCCAACTCTTCTCAGAATCTTCAGCTGAAAAGCAGTAGAGAAGTTCTGGAACTCACATCCCAAACTTCGGCTGGTTCTGAAGCTGGTTTCACTATCTATTCAGAAACCCATCCTCATTCTTGTGTTTGCAAATGACACTTTCTCTTCAACTACCTATTGAGCTGGTCATGGGAGCTGCAGCCATGGCCTCTGGAGTCAAAGATGGAGTCTCACCTCCTAGCTTTGTCACTTGTCAGCTGAGGACTTTGAGTAATTGACCTATCATCTTTGGACCTCAGTTTCCAAATCTATAAAGCAGAAATGTGAAGGCTATCATGGTCATGAGCATGAAATGAGATAATACCCATAAGGAACTTTGCACAGCATCTGCCACATAGAAGTGCTCAGTGAGAGTTAGCAATCTTCATATCACTCTCATCTCACTGTGGAGCTTTCCTTCAGTAGCCTCTGAGCTCTGCAAGGGCAGGAGCTTGCCTGTCTCTGATGCCCCTGCTTTGCTGACACAATCAATGCCTGCTTTGTGGTAGGTGCTCAGTAAATGATGAATTAATGATGATGGAGTGCCAATTCACAGCTAGCTTTTCTAGAGAGACCCAGCAAGCTTCCGGTTGGTACCCAGCGAGGATAACTGACTTGGGGTCTAAATGAATTCCCTTGGACCTCTTTCAGGGTTGGATGAAGGTCAGATGTCTAGTTTCTTAGCAGTTTTATCTTCAAAGAACATTTGACTCCGTTTTGAACTAGTAACATCAAGATTTCTGCATCTCTGTACCCTATACACAAGTGTCTTGCTCCGCTGGGCCTTGATTCTACTAAAGCTCTGGATTGAGATCACAGATAACCTTTAAGCAGAAGGTAAACACTTGTGGGGCTCAGAAAATTGCTCAGCAGTCTAAGTGCCTGACTGGCAAATGCAAGGACCTAGGTTCAATCCCCAATACCACAATCTGTGCCAGCCCTGGAGCATCAGGCATGATGTGTTGGCCATGAAACCAGGCATGGTGGTACACACCTGTAATTCCAGTGCTGGGGAGGCTGAGACAGGAGGATTACTATGAGTCCAAGCTGTATAGTGAGACCCTGTGCCAAATAAATAAATAAATAGTAAACACTATAGATAATTAGGAGTGAAGCCAAGAGGCTGGTGCAGTTGGTCCTGTCTCCTGGTGGATCAGCTTCTTGAGGGGTCCTGCAAGAAGCAAATTCCTGGATAATGACATTTTTCCCTTAAGATGCTGTTGCATTTTATTATTTCTCCCACATTGTTGGAAAATACACAGAAATATCCTATTTTGCAGTCTTGTTAAGATGAGTGTATCAAACACTGCCACACATCTTGGCCAAGGGGTTTCACCTTTAGGGGCTCGCTGAAGTTTGCTGGTCTTTGGGAGATGAGGAAGGGGCAGGGTCAATATTTCCACCACAGATCTAGGGGGACCAGAGAGCCAAGGTGCTTACAGTGTTCAGACAGGAAAAGGCGGGACAACTCCAGCCCTCTTCTTTGACGTAGAATCTTTGCCATGGATCTGACATAGAATCTTCTTCGCCATAGAATCCCTTAATTCCTCCTTATCTTCCTGTCCCTTGCACAGTTCAGCATTTCCTGGCAACTCAAAGCCAGCAATTGCGCTCCGGCAACACCATTGTTGATGTGAGCCATACCATCAGCCCTCACATCTGGTGGTCCCAGGCTCCTTGGCTTTGATGGTTCTTGATTAATCATCATTCCTCCCCGGCCTTCTTGCTAAGAAAAGTCACTCTTAACTGCACTGCTGCTCAGCTGCTGGACTGAGGAACTTGTTGGAACTATGTGTAAAATAAGACCATTGCGGCGTCTCTTGGACTGTGTGGATAATCTTGGGTTCTGTCTCCTCAGCTGTGTGTTTTGGATCAGCACAATTCTTGGGCTGGTGAACCATCCAGGCAGGAGAGCTACCAAGTAACATGGAGCGCCAGGCTTGGCATCAGACACCCTAGAGACCTATCAGCTTCCAGGGTAAACTACCTACCCTCTCCTGGCTTCAGTTACCCCCACCCACAAACTGGGACTGATGAGGTACGCCTGATCGGGAGGGCTCAAGGAAACAATGTGCACTCAGTGCTGAGCCCCACTTGGCACTCAGTAGATGGTAGGCAGGGCTTCCTTGTTAAAACTTCAAGTATAAGATGCTGTCCATTCACTGACTTATGCATTCCTCAAGTACTTAGGTACTGCCTGTCTCTCCATGCCTAGTTTCCTACCTGCAAAATGAGGATAATAAATAGTACTTATATAGCTGAGAGAGTGAGGATTTAGTACCCATAATATATATGAAGTACTCAGAAGCTGCGCAGGGTAAGTCAGTGCAATACGTATGTTGTCAGGCTGGGGAGATAGCTCAGTGATCTAAGCACCTGCCTGGAAAGTGCAAGGACCTGAGTTTGATCCCTGGTACTGCATGCTGTGCTGGCCCCTGAACCTTGGGCATGCCGTGAAGGCCATGAAACTAGGCGTGGTGGCACACACTGTAATCCCAGCACTGGGGAGGCTGAGACAGAAGGAACACTGTGAGCCCGAACTGTGTAGTGAGACCCTATACCAAATAAATAACTAATTTTAAAACATTTATTAAAAATACACATGTTGTCTATCACCACCGGTGCCTATTTGTTCCAAGCACATGCCAGGCTGGCACTAGGAATAAAGAGGTAGACAACACGGACATGGCCTTTGTCCTCGTGGAACTTACATATTCTTTCTGCCTTACTTTCTTTGTGGAGAGAAAAGTTAGAGCATATTTCACTAGTTGAGCTCAAGATGAATCAATGGGTCTGGCAAATGACCCAGAGTATGGCTCTGGCTCCCCATGGACTGGCTGCTGCCCAAGAGCCAACACGAGAGCCCACACCCTCAGGAAGTCTTTGTCCTTCTCACTCTGTGCTCTTAGTTTTCTTTTGGCACAATCCTCAGAGCCCCAAGTCAGTTGGAGGGAACCATATGAAGTGGCTAAGGTGCAGTCATGAGAAGGTCAGTGTATGAAAATGCCCTGAGATCTTCAGAAGCCCATGTGAATGAAAGGGGTGTGCGGGGACCCCCGGAGAGGCAGGAAACACTGGTTTGGGAGTTAGGTCCCAGGGGAGAAGTCCTCCTGCTGCCACTCAGTAGCTGGGTGGGCTCTCTTCAGGTCACCTCTCCTCTCTGAGCCTTGGTTTCCTTGACTGTGAAGTAGGGTAGTGACAGGAACTTCCTGGTAGGATTGCATGAGGAGCTGGCCTCCTCCAAAATCATCTCTTTTAAGATGCTTCCTGTGACCCGCCCAGGAGAGTGCGCTGCTCCTGTCTCTGAGCTCAGAGGCATTTATTTATACAACTGCTAGACAATGCCTGTTACTCTACATGGACTAAGATTGGGTTCCCTGGAAACAAATTCTGAGACAGAGAAGAAGTACCTAGCTGGGAGGCTCTCAGGAGAAGTGACTGAGAACAGAACAGGGCAGGATGGGGGAAAAGAAGCACCTGACACAGTGGGAGAAGCTGGCACCCAGAAGGACAAGCTGACAGGGGTGGAAGTGACATACAGGAGCAGTTGCCGAGATCTTGGCTTCTCAGAACTGCTCTGAAAGAGGCAAGAGGCCACCCAGTTTAAACCATCACCTAGCCAGTCACTGACTAGAGATGCCTCCTCTCCTCCCGCCCAGGAAGGGTGCTCACCGTGGGCCCCATGGTTCCCCACAGAGGCAAACGGTTCCCAGTGAGTGAGAGTCTAGGGGGAGAAGCTGCCACGACTTCCTCCAAGAGACCAGGAAGCGTTTTAGAAGCAATGGAGAAGCAAACCTGGAATTTCTGCCCATGCAGGGCTTTTGGCCTATATTTACCTTTTGGTATCTGAGGGCAGCTTGGCGACCTTGCTTGGGCCAGAATCTTCTCATTCACGGAGCACCCAGTTGGTGTTTAGTAAGAGCCTATCAGCCAGTCATTTATCAGTCACACACCCAGGCTCTTTTCTTGTCATCATCTGCTTGTTTCAAAGATTAAGGTCCTTCCTTGTAGACCAAACCTGTGCATGGTTAATTTGTTCAGGAGACAGAGAGAGGCAGAGAGAGAGAGAGAGAGAGAGAGAGAGAGAGAGAGAGAGA